AAAAAGAAAAAAAATCAACGCAACCATAGGTGTGTATGGCTGCGAGAGAGAGAGAAGAGCGTGTACACTTCTTCACTCCACGAAGAAAGAGAGAAGGCCTGTATGGGCTCTCCTCTCTCTACTATAAAAATAGAGAGAGAGCGAGCCGTGGAGAGGAGAGATCATGTACGTGAGGAGAAAGAGAGCCACATGTAGAGAGAGAAGTAAATCGGAGAAGAAGACCAACGTGCAGCGGAAAGGATCATCCTGTGCGCGAAACTAGATGTTGGATTTGAGAGATCGATCCATCTGCGCCAAAAACAAAAAGCCAGAAAGGGAATAGCGCAGCTATGTGTGGTGGGAGAAAGAGATCCACACGGCGCCCAAGTGCAACTTCACAATCTGTGTTGTGTTCTCGGCCCGATTCCATAAGATCCATATTGGATTTGGATGCGCAAGTGGTTCCATAGCGATCTACGGCCGATACGCAACAGTTTGTGACCGATTATAGTGGCGCATACCGATTCCCATGGCTGCGCGTGAGGCAGGCACTCCGACGGCGGCGCATGGTGAACAGGGAGCACATGGGTGGTGCAGTGTGGCGACTCCGGCGAGTGGGATCGCGTGCCCAAGGTAAAACTACTTTTTTTGTTGGGTTCGTTTCTAAAAATCTCTTATCGTTTAATACGCATGTTATATATATTTATGAACGAATAAATTAATCAAGTGATAGTAAAGATTTAGAGGAGAGTGTAGACCCGAACCAATAAGAATTCTGACACTTTTTCTGACTCGACTGTAGGTAAGAGATTAGAATAGTCTCATTCAGAGGTCCTCATGTTTTTATAAAACCTCATTTTCTATTGAAATGATTTGTTTACAAAATTTACAAACTATTCACCTTTTTTACCATGAGTTTTGCAAACTCATCATATTCGCATGTTTGTAATTGCATATGATTGGAAACTTACATAATATTGTATATGACATATAATTATGTATTTATATTGTTACTTGTATGTATATGCAAATTTTATGCGTGATAGTTATCGAGTTATAGGTGTGTGTGACACATATATATGTATAATTGTAAATTGCATAACGTGTGTATGTATGAGTGAATAACTTGTACGAGCCTACTTATAAAATACATATATGCCTTGCGTAAATATACAAATATATTCGTGTTGTATGTGTTGCATGTTTATATATACTTAATCAAATCGATAACTGTGCATATAATATATATATATATATATATTGTACTTATTGTATAGTCTTATTGATGTATAATATATATGATATATAAGTAGGTGCATGTCTGAACAGGTCATTTAGTAGCAAACTTGATTAATAAGAAAATAATATAAAAATCTTTAAAAGACGAAAAAATACATTTAATCGTTATCACTGAGGGGTGGGTGTGTGTATAACCTTTTAGCATGTAACTCTAATGAACTCTAACCGTGAATACGGTTTTATCCAAACATGACGAAGCGATAAGAATTGTGAAATGAATACTATGTAATGCAAACTATGAACTGAATACTATATAATGCAAACTGTAAACTGAACTGTAATGTATTCACATAACAAATGAGATCCTTACTGCTTTCATTGATACCGACAAAAACAGTATCATACAATGAAATTATTTTTAATAAGATATAAACTGGTAAGAATGAATAAAAAAATCATGGATAAAATTTACGATACTAAAATACTGAACTAATATTTAATGAACTACTTACTATTTAAATTGTAATATTGAATATTAAATTATACTATTTAATGAACAGTTAATATATTGAGTTATAATAATAAAATAAAAAATTCTGAATATTTAATGAATAAATTAATTTAAAACATTTGATAATTGAATGTATGAATGTTTTTGTTGTGGGCAGTGCCTCTTTTCTTTATTGAGTATGTGAAGTTTACTCTAATTCACACTCTCAATACAGAGTAGTTCAGATCAAGAATAAAATCGAAATCGAATGAAGACTTTGAAAAATTTTTAATGACGGTAAAAGTTCGTTACAGCAAAACTATATTATAGTGATGTATGTAACGAATTTCGTAAGCATCGTAAATTATAATTTCGTTAATTGAATCTTAAGTTTTTAATTATTATTGTGTAAATTTATTAAATTATATATGTGGGAAGCACTACTTTTTTAATAATAATAAAAAATAAGGAGTTATTTCTAGAATAAAAATATATATTATCACTACTAAAAGAGACCCAAGCTTCAGTAATTTAGATGAAAGGGAATCAGGAGAGGATACCAATATCCAGGCTTGCTTGGATAATATAATCTTATTGAAACAACGAAAATCCTGGAAATCTAAACCTTCCATATACTTACTTGAACATTGTGTTGAGCATCTTGTCTGGTATATCTTTCTCTCTTTCTCCTGACTACCCCACCAAGATACTTTCTGACTTCCGCAACTTTTACCCCCAATTGATCCGCCAATTGCTGCTTCTTATGTGTGCTAACTCCTCTAAAAAAAATTACAGATGATTTTCCGAGATTGATGGACTGGCCTAATGGATTCATAGTCCTGAAGAGTTTTTGAATAACATTAATGTATACCTCCTATACCCTTCAAAACAATATACTGTCATATGTAAACAACAAATGTGAAATTGTTAGAGCAAATCTCACAATCTTGAGGCCTCATATTCTGCCTTCATTCTATGCTTTTTCGAGTAACGCTGAGAATGTGTCTGCACTCAAAATAAACAGATAAGATAAGAGATTTCTTTGACAGAGACTCTTTGGGGAAGAAAGCCTGCGACCATTTACCAACATACAATGTGTAAATTTAAAGCCTCAGATACCTTTGTTGCAGTATACAAAAATCAGAAGATTAATTGAAGAGAAAGAAAAAGAAGTATCAGAAGCGAAAATCTTTCTCATACACAGAAACCTTATCTGTGTCAGAAGGTGTCCTAAGATTTTCTCTTTTTCATCATTTACCTTTCTTCTTCTTCATCGAATTCAAACCTTAATAATCAAGAAAAAACAATCCAAGAAAGAAAACGAAAAGGAAGAATATAGAGTTTAAGAATCAGAAAGAACGTAGCGATAATAAAGGTTATGAATTTTGATCATTTGAGATCCATCATCACCCATCCATTGCTTTCTTCATATTCTTCAAATCAGATTCCAATTGATTTTTTAAACCACGAAAAAAAAAAAAAAAAGAAAGAAAGAAAAAAAGATTTTCTAATTTTGAGAGATGTGGACTAGAAAAACTGAGCGAGAGTAGAGATTTGAAAACGAAATTCATCGAGAAACAGAGGTGTCTTCGATCGAGAAAACAGGGAAGAGTAAGGAGGAGGCGGAATGTATGTTGGAGGTGCGAAACAATGCTTTATAGTGAGAGGCTTAAAACCCTAATGAGAACCCCAATCTATTTACGAGTGTTTGGTGACGGAGAAAGAATAATTCTGGCTTTTACTTATCCTTGTTAAGTTTTGTTGGATTACCCAATTTATTGGGCCTTTTCCCTTGAGACAATATGGGGCTTAACGTAATTATCAATTGTTGATTTTTAATTAATTAAGAATAAAGTTTAGTTCATCTATTGTAGCTCTCTTCTTGTGCTTCATAATTTTGTTTCCCAACAAATCTTCCTACATTTGCAGCTTTCTCGTGTGTGTGTATATAAATAAATAAAACAAAAATTATTAAATTAATAAATGATACTAATTATAATTTAATTTTTAATATTTTTGTAATAATTTATTTTTTAATTACTTTTTTGTTACAAAAATATATTCTTTTTTTTTAATTGAGAAATAACTAAAATTATGTTCTTAAATTACTTCAAAGTTGATGAATTGTCTCGGCATAAAATACACTATGTTTGATGTCTATAGACAATGCATTCCGTATTCAAATTATCGTCATTACAGTGCAATCAATACTTTATAAATAGACTTCTCAAATCATATCGTTCTTTAATTCTACTATCAACAAACCCTAACTTATTCTTGATTTTAAGGGTTCGTTTTATAGATCTAGTCAACTAATGGTAATTATCCGAATCGAGTAACTATATAACCAGTATGGTTCCAAAGCTTTCATTAGCTCAAATATAATAGGAATTATTTGAGTTTGTAGGTTCATAGTTAACTCCACAAAATATTTTATACTTATTTTGTATTCAAACAACACAAATATATTAAAAATCAAGCAAATATAGAACACACACATTACCAGATCAAAGAAAGGCAAGAGAGAGAGCCTGAACACATTCTAAAAAGCTCATTCCTATTATGCACTGGAACCCTTTCACAAGTTTTACTCATCCGGCAACGATTCTATCTCTTCTTTCTCATCTGAAAAATATTATAGTAAAATTTAATGAGGTTCACTAACTTAATAGATATTTATGTTCTTCCAATCCCATATCAGACATCATGCAAAAACACGCAATATATGATAAATGCAGTAGTAATATTTTCAATACAAAATTTATTTATAATTTTCACTATTTTCTAAACCAGAATTTACTTCTTAAACATAACTGTTTCGGACATTATAATTTTACATGTTTCTGATTGGATTTATCAATTACACTCGAATATCATTTATAGCATCGAAATATCAGTATATACACTCGAAAAGAATATATATACACTTGAAATGTCATTTCTAAGGTTTCATCTTGCGATACCGTTTATATCGTTGTTGAGTTCTAGAGGTATTTTTGAAAGAAAATTCGGAAACTAGGAGTTGAAACGTAATTTTAAAAAAATATTCTTATTTTATGATAAACGAAATATGAATTGCAAAAATTTGTCGATATAAAATGCGGTTATGGTCTCCGAATCATAGGGCTTCTATTTTATTTTTTTGAAATTCTGTCACTAAAAAAAAAATTAGTTTCAAGGCGCCATATTGATTCGGAAGATTTTACCGCCGAATGCAAATAATTCTTCTATGATGAATCCAAGTACACTTTTGCTTATATTTTTCATTAATTCAATACGAGATTGAATGTTTAATTATATATGAAATTATAATATGTGCTATGTTATTGTCTCTATAAGTTGTTTTTTGAAATTTCACTACAGTATATAGACGATAAATGATTTTATTTATGATAAACGATTTTGGTTAATTAAAAGCTCCATTAGTTTTTTTTTTTATAATTTCTACCAACCTTCATTTTTGTGTCGGTGAGTAGCGTGATATTCTTACTGGACTAGTGTAGCTAATTCTTTTATTAATTATTTCAGATCAAGAGGATCAGGATCTAGAGCCCGATTCACAAGAGGATTGCGAGTAGAACGTTCAGTTGTTTATTTTAATTTATTTCCTTAGTTATTAATTGTTCTTTTAGAATGATTATTCCTGTGAGCCATATTTGGTACTTTCAGTTATTGTGTAAGGAATGTAAACCCTAACTATTTATTTCGCTTCCGTACTAAATTTATAATTTATTTCCTTTACAATTTCCTGGGTCATTACAGTATATCCTAACTACA